GTGTGAGAAACCTTCATATACTCCACTAACTTAGTTGTTCTTCCTCTTAGTAACACAGACATTGCATTTACATTTTCTCTCTAGAATAAAGCCCTTGCTTTAAAATAATCATAGGTTCCCCCTTCATTTACATTGATAGCTTTAGGGCCTTTTTCAATTCTTTAAGCAAGATATTTAAATATATTCATTGAGGTCAGTTCATCAAAATTTATGAAGTTTCACCCTAGGACACAAGTGAACTTTGCTCTATGTGTAGTGGGAAACTTTCAGAATGTGACATGATCTGTAGCCCCAAGAAACCACTAATTTGGAGTTTAGATAGCTAAGAATTCCTAGTTAAATCTTGGCACTAGACAGGCCTGGACTGAGGCCTGTGATACTGGGTAGTGTGTCTACTAGCATCACTGGAATGGATATGACTGGACCATACAAACTATGTGATAGAGGAGTTATATTGTAGGAGACAAATGTGAAAAGGGTAAATGGAAGGATGCCCAGGCTACCCAAAGATTCCAGAGGCTTGTATAATGGGTGTCAGAAACTCCATCTCAAGGAGATGAAGTTGAATTAAACCATGAACACACACTGTGGTCAGTATGTATTAGATAAGAGTGGAGAAAAAGGGCTTCCATGGGTAAGTGAGAAATGCCCTAACACAGGAGATCGGTAGCCAGTCCTTCTGTAACTATTGTAAAAAATGGAAATAGAATAATTACTCAAAATGTCTTCCTACAAAGTGAGGACCACTCTAATACCCAAACCAGGTGCAGACACAGCAAGAAATAAAGAAAACCGGCAAATATCCTAGTGAACAGAGTCTCAAACATGCTGAGTAAAATACTTGCAAACAGAATACAGACATACATAAAAGAGATTATCATTTTTGCTTTATCACCAAAACTCAGGAATGGTTCAGAATACACAAATCAATAAAAATAATGAAACACATAGATGGACTTAAAGATAAGAATTGCATGACCATTGCTGTAGATTCAGAAAAAGTCTTGAACAAGATCCAACATGACTTTATAATAAAAGTCTTGAAGGATGTAGAGCCAGAGGGAGCCTGCCCCAAAATACCTCCATGTAACCTATATATGAGAAAATCACAGCCAACATCATCCCAAATGGAGACACTTGAAGAAACCCCACTGACATCAGGAACAAGACTGGTTGGTCCACTATCCCAGTTCTTTGTAATATTATAGATAGATTGTTGGCTGGAGAAAAGAACAGCAAGAGAAGGAAATAAAATGGACACAAATCAGGGAAAAGGGAGTCAGACTATCCCCACTGCCAAAGGATATTGAAGTATACATTATAAATCACAAAATTCTACCAGAAAACTTGTAAAAAAAAAAAACAGCAATGCAGCAGGATACATAGTCAGTTTTCCACAAACCAACAACAAACACACAGAGAAGGAGATCACGAACACACTCCCATTCACAATGGCCTCAAAGAAAATGAAATATCTAGGAATAAACCTAACCAAGGAAGTGAAGGACCTCTACAATGAAAACTTTAAACTTCCAAAAAAAAGACACAAATATACTAGAAAATGGAAAGACAGGCCATGCTTATGTATTGGTAAAGTTGAAATTGTGTGAAAATAGCCGCTTTTTCAAAAACTATTTGCAGATTCAATGCAATCCTAATAAAACTCCCCATCTCATTCTTTTGAGAAGTAAGAGTATACTAGAATTTACATGAAGCTTCAAAAGATTCCAGATAGCAAAAACAACTCCGACTAAAAAGAGCATTGCTAGTGGGATTACAATACCATCATATGATATATTACAGAGATATATTATTAAAACAATACTGTTCTGACATAGAAACAGACATGCAGACCAGCAGAACAAAATAAAAGACCTAGGGTAATTCTAACTTCAACCACTTAACTGTTTGACAAAAATGCCAAAAACTTATACTGGAGAAAAAGAGGCATCTTCAAGAAATGGTGTTAGGAAAAGTGATGTCCACATACAGAAGGATGAAATTAAACCAATAGTTATCACCTTGAACAAAAGCTAACTTTAAAGACCTAAACAGGAAACACTGAGACTACTAAAAGAAAACACAGGCAGTTGCCCTACATGATACATGTGTAAGAAAGGACTTCCTAAATACAACTCCTTTTTCTCAAGAATTAAGGTCAGCAGCTGACAGTGGAAACTCCTGAATCTAAAAGGCTTCTGCACAACTAATCAACCACAGAATGGGAGAAAATCTTCACCAGCTACATGTCTCACAGAGGATTAACATCCAAAATATATAAAGAACTCAAAAAAAGAAAGACCGAAGAAACCAAGTGATCCATGCAAAAACTGGGCCTGGGTCCTGAACAGAGAGTTCTTAGAAGAAGAAGAAAAAAACATTGGCTAAGAAATATCTCAGAAAATGTACATTGTCTTTAGAAATTAGGGAACTCTAAATCAGTGAATGCTTTCTTCTTAAGCCAGGATAGCAAATGTCACCAAATAATTTACAAGAAATGCTGAAGTGGAAGTGAGGAAGATCTTCCATGTTCATTGCTGCTGTAATTGCTAGAAAAGGTAAATAATCTAAATAACCTTCAACTGACAAATGGATAATGAAAATGTGCAAATACACTGTGGAATAGTATTCAGCTCTAAAGAAAACGGAAATCTTGAAATTTGCCAGTGAATGGATGAAACTGGAAAAGATCATGTTAAGTCAGGTAACCCATAGCCAGAATACCAAATGCACCATTTTATCTCTGGTTCCTAGCTCTGACTCTTCAGATGTGGAGGCATAGCCTGGAGTTACTGCTAAAGCCAAGAAAGTACAATGAAATCATTGCCAGGATAGGGGATCAGGGAGCAATAGAGAAGGGAAGAGCAGAGTCCCAGTGGTCTGTTCAGAGGACCAGGAAACAGGAGTTCTTTAAGGAGGGAGATAGAAGTAAATAGAGAAGGAGGAGGGAGCAGGGTAAAAGGGATGAGCAGTGAACAAGTGATTTGACTAGGGCAATGAAAAAGGGGAGCTCCTTATGGCGTAATAGGGAGGTAAATACAGAAGAAAGAGTAAAATAACAAGAGTTCCTGGGAAAGCCTCAAGGAATCTTCCAATCGACTATTTACTAACTAATGAATCAATGATGTGTATTTACATGTACATATATGAATGCATTTATAATGATAAAAGATGCTATACATTTGAAAGCGAGCAAGAAGGGCTGAATAGGAGGTTCTGGAGTTATGGAAGGGTAGACAGAAATGTTGTAGTCATGATCTCAAAGCTTTTAAATAATTCAAAGCTTAGGACTAATATGCCTAACACACTGTGGGAAGGTGGCCATTTTGTTTTCTATGCCCCGAAGCCCCCAGCCCCTCACTCTTCAGTGAATGTATTGCAATTTTTCAGTTGCTCTAAGATTTGACTCTTCTTGGTGCTTCTGGACTTGTTCCTCTCCAGGGGATGCTATGCCACCATTAGGATTGGTGGGAGAGATGAGTGAGAGCCAGTGTTCCTGCTCTACTGCCTGGTCCTTTTTATATTGCAGTAAACCACGTGGTGGATCATAAAAGTCCTTGTGCCTTTATTTTCACCTGAAAGCAAAACTCAAAGCTTACCTTCAAGGGCAGAATGCTCTCCGGAGGAGGCTTGTGGAATTGTGCCCCTTTCTTGGTGGGTCCAACTTCCTAATACCGACTACTGTACCCCACTCCCAGCATTTCAGTATTTCAATTTGTTGTCCTTTCCTTCAAGTGTAGGATATCTTCATCTCTCTCTCTCTCTCTCTCTCTCACACACACACACACACACATACATACACACACACACACACACACACACACACACACACACACAGTCTTCCTAAGTACCAAACAATAATTACCAGTGATCTCATGTAGTGATGCCTTACAGAAAGAGTTACTTTTCTATCTACCACATAATGTGTGTAAGGCTACACTCTTTCTAGCAGTGTGTGCATTTTGTTATTATGTAAAAGTTATATAATTCTCTACTCCCCTCCATCCTGTCCCCATCCTCCTCCTTGTCCCATCCAATTTTAAATTTCATTTCTGGGTCTCCAAGAAGGGACTATTGTGGGGCTAGAGAATTCTCTGAGGCCATTCTTTAACAATGAGATGCCTTGCTAATGCAGTTCCTCTAAAGAACAGATTTGAGTCCTTATCTTAGAGCCCACTGTACCTTCAATTTCCAACGAGGCAGGAGGGGAGGCAGAGGATTAATCTTCTGGGGGAGTAGAGGTAATTGATGACCTGCACACATAATGGCCATGTCACATGCTCTGACAAAAAAAGTTGCTTTTTTTCTGATTCACGATTCACTTTCATTAAATCTTACAAAAGCATAAAAATTAAGCCGGGCCAAGCAGTGCAGCATTTAGCCAATCACCTTTTCTGAAGAAAAGGGAAAAATATTACACATATTCCTGCTAGAAAATTCAGGCAGTGTGGTCATCATAGTTCTAGGATAGATATGCAAATTAAGTCTGAAAAATGGTCAAATCCTCAGAGAGAGAGAGAGAGAGAGAGAGAGAGAGAGAGAGAGAGCTTGGACATTGGAGCCATGTATCCTGGTGAGGCTAAAATTGTCAAAGGCAGAGCTGAATGCCAAATGATAATTCCTGCTAAATAATTCAGGCCATGTGAACTCTGATATTTTCTTTACTTTAATGAGTATAATGTGTGTGATTACCAACTGCTTTCCTCATGGAGACAGATGATGTGCTTCTTCCTAATTGTGGGCTCCATTTTTATTTAGGTAACTCATATCTGCAAGGTTTCCTATAAGCCCAGTCACTCACACATGTAGCCACTAAACAAATGTTCAGTACTGAGTTGGTGGTAATTATAACAATGAAGAAAAGGAAAGGATTGCAGAACAGAGGCTAAGTGTGAGTCTAAGGTGGTCAGCAATGGACAAATGTCACAGAAATGATAAATCTCATGACATGGGACTTCAGCTCCTCTGTGACACTGCCTTTCTCCTTTTTCCCCATGCAGGGAAGTGACGCTGACACAGTGGATAAGAATAAATGCTGTACACTCTGTAACATGTCCTTTACCTCAGCCGTGGTGGCCGACTCCCATTACCAAGGCAAAATCCACGCCAAAAGGTTAAAACTGTTGCTAGGAGAGAAACCACCATTGAAAACCACAGGTATGTGTGGGAACAAATGATCCAGGCTGGCACTGAGAACCATACACTACATCTGTCACATGAGTCACCTCTCTTCAGAAGCTTTGTGGCTCTAATGGCAGGTGCCATTCAAAACCCACAGGGCTGGATCAGAAGGCCGGGGCACACCAGACCACTGAGTTTGGTTTTGGCAGCTATTGTTTACAACCTCCAGGCTGTGTGTCACACTTACTATATACCACGTAGGACACATGTCTGTGGTATTCTCCCAGGTTCAGTCTGTACTTTGCATGGGTACAGATGTGCACACAGCATAGGAATTGGGTTCCACCAATGTCTGTGTAAAGCCAGTACCATCCTTTACATGTGTGCTTTACATACAGCAGGGTGTTGTTATATGATCTGTTCTTAGTTTGGTGTAGGGGAGGCAGCAATGGGAACTTTAGTTTAGAGATGAGTGTGTGTTTATGACATTCCTGGCATCATTACTGGGGAAGTTGTGATTCAAACCTATTAACTTTCATCAGTAGTGAATATTGATAGCAGATTACTCGACCTTCTAAATGCTTAACCAAAGAATGTCTTTGAAGGTTTTATCAATTTGAGAGGGTGTGTGTGTGTGTGTGTGTGTGTGTGTGTGTGTGTGTGTCTCACACACATTAATAACACTAAAACCATTTGATTTATATCATGATGAAGATGCTATGTACTAGGTTATAATCCCAAGAAGTTAGGGGATATTTTTCATTATGTCTACTTTTGCATTGCAATTAAAATTTAGTAGTGCATCTTATCTGGCTGTCTAATGAATCGTGCATAAATCGTGGATGTAATTATTTTTAAATGGTATTTTGGAAACCAGAGAGTGTCTGAAACAATGCTTGGCTTTTTCTTCCCTGGAGTTTTTCTTAAGCAACAATCTTCTTTTGCTTAGCAAATAGCAAGGAATCTTTTCTTTCCCAGCTTAGTTTGAGCAAAGCACATTGTTTTCTTGGAGGTGGATGTGACATTCATGTGTAGAATGGTTTTGTCTGGGAACAAGTGTGGCTTATTTTGGAGCCTCTACGTGATGTGGCATTGATCAAGTGGTGCTCTATTGAGATGCTTGTTCTCTGAAAGGCTGGGGCACTAACCTTGTGACCTACACATCGTCAAATCTCTTAAAATAGACACCACAAAGAAACAGTCACTGGAAAAATTTTATCTGCTCTTTCCATGAATGAGTAACGAGCTGGTTTGTTCTCTTTGCTTTATCAGAACAGGGATGTTAAATTTCATTTTGGAAGTAGTAATGGGAGAAGAGGGGCTGTATATTTATTGCATTGATTAGTAAATGGGAAAAATGATTATTTCTGTATCAAAGCTATCACATGCCAAAAAATGATTCTTCAAGAAAACCTAGTATCAGATCATTTTTCTTAATTCAAATAATCCCAGAACTAGGACCCAGAACTCAAGGGTGACTTATTAACTCTCAATATATTTCAAAGATGGGGGCTGACATGACAGCTTAGAGGTTAAACTTAACCACCAAGCCTGAGAAACCTGAGTTTGACTCTTGCACCTCTGTGATAGAAGGACAGAATTTACACTTTGACCTTTACACATTCACTATGGCAAGCATGCCTCCCTATAAACAAATATAGGAGAAGGGGGAGTTTTCCAGAGACAAAATTCAGATCATCCAAAGTTTACCATCATTCAGTGAGTTGGCTCTTTCTAGTCATGATTCTAACTTAGCTGTGAGGTTGAGGAAATCAAGGAACCTGTTGGGGCAGAAGAGAATAGGAATGGGAAAGGATAGATTGCACTATCAGCTCCCATTGTAAATCAGGGGTCTAATTGTCATACCTTAGACTCTTTCTCCTCCACTTCACATTTTTAAGCATGCCCTCTCATCCATTTGCTTTGAGCAGAAAGCATCTTGGAAGATAGCAACCACAGACAAAATTGGAGTCCTGAGAAGCTAAACCAATTCTCATGACTGGAATGGTGCCAGCCATTAAGCACAAAAACATACAGAAATTAATTGGCACTGGGAGGTGTGGCCCAGGCTAAAGTTAGAACATGGGTGGGACAAAGTATAGCATGCCAGTGTGGCTGCAGAAAACTTGAGTGATCAAACAGGGCACCTGTAGTCATTGAGAGCAAGACTATGCATGCAATTCTGGAGTTTAGGGAAAATAAGAAGAGATGCCCATTGTCTTAGTTAGGGTTTCTAATTCAACAAAACACCATGACCAAAGAGCAAGTTGTGAAGGAAAGGGTTTATTTAGCTTACTTACACTTCACCATTATTGTTCATCACTGAAGGAAGTCAGGACAGGATCTCAAGCAGGGCAGGAACCTCGAGGTAGGAGCTGATGCAAAGGCCATGGACTGAAGCTACTCACTGGTTTGCTCCCCTTAGCTTGCTCAGACTGCTTTCTTATAGAACCCAGGACCACCAGCCCAGGAATGTCACCACCCATCATGGGCTGGGCTCTCCCCTATTGATCACTAATTGAGACAATGCCTTACAGCTGGATCTCATGGAGGCATTTTCTCAGCTGAGGCTCCTTTCCCTGATGACTCTAACTTGTGTCAAATGGACACACAAATCCACCCATTATGGTATATACTCACTTGTAAGTAGATATTAGCTGTAAAGTAAATGACAATCATGCTAAGTAACAAGGAGGGCTTAGGGTATGTTGCAAGGATCTCCCTGATAAGGGGAAATAGAATAGATTTTTCAGATGGATTGGGGACAGGTGGGAAAAAGAGGGATCATCTGGGTGGAGAAGGGAAAATGCTGGGAGAAAAGACTAGAATTGGGCATTTGGGGGTGACTTGAAAACCTAGTGCCATTGATGGAAGATCCATGGTATCTACAAGAGCAACCCTAGGAAAGAGTCCTAGTAAAATGGGGAGGGGACAAAGAGCCACAACAGAGCCATCCATAACCAGTCAAGGCTTTAGGTGGATGGATTGAGTGAGACACTGGCCCAGGCACAAGTGTGCCCTGTGTGCAGAGTGTTCTGGGACAATAGCCTAGTAGAACCCTCATCAAAGAGACCAGATATCATGCAGCAAACATGGAGGCAGATGCAGAGTCCTATAGTCATTAGGTGGAGCTTGAGGAGACCTGCAGAGGAGGAGGAAGGACCAGAGGAACCAGCCAGGAAGTGACACCAGGAGAATACAGCCCACAGAATCAACTGACCAGGACTCATGGGGCCCTGTTGAGGTCTGATCTAGGTGACCTGAATATATTTTATTGCTGATAACATGGTGGTGTTGTGGGATTTCTAACAGTGGGAGACGGGGCAAATGCTGACTCTTTTGCCTCCTGACTCTTTTCCTCCTACTGGGTTGCATCATCCAGTCTTGATTTGATAGTATGTACCTGATCTTATTGTAGTGTATTATGCTGTGTTTGACTGATGTCCCTGGGAGGTTTGCTATTTTCTGAAGGGAGACTTGGGGTGTGTGAATCTGGGGAGATGGGAGATGAGGAGAGAGACTGGGAGGTTGGGGAAGGAGGGGAAATTATAGTCATTAAATAATACGTGTGAGAAGAATAAGGAAAAAAAAAAGAAAAAGAGGGTCATGAGTGACCATCAGTTAAGTAGTAGGTGTCAGGCTGGAGAAGGACTTCACTGGGATGTAACCAAAACACAAACCCAGTTATTGTGAGGGCAAGAACCTAGAAGCTGGAGAAGACCCATGCCAGAGCATCCAGAGTTGCTGTGTGTTCCTTGCCTGGGAGACCACAGCCATACCTTGCAGACCACAGCCTTCCCAGCAGCAGCTTAGAGAAGGCTGAGTCCCAAGGTTTTCCTGTGCACATGTACACATGGGCCAGTACTGCCTAGTCAGCTTGATTGGCTTGGAATTATATCTGTAATAAAAACAAAAGGGGAAAACTGACATGTAAGACCCAGTCACCTGAACCAAAGTGTCAGAGAGAAGCAATTACCTGCTCAGGTAAGCCTCTTATGCTGCCACACGTCAGACCCCAGCAATTTCTGGGTAGGCATAATTAGAGTAAAGCTCCTTGCTTCTCTGTGTTACTTCATCTGATGGAGGTGAACAGTCAGGACCAGTGAATCACTGTTTCTTCCACCTACATTAGTCCTTGGATCACACATCAGCTGAGCACTCTGTGGAACCCACTGCCCTTTGAGGGGCCTTCTTCAGATGGGGATGTCTTTACTAGGGCTTTGAAATGCTTGACCAGCCCACTGGAATGCTGGAACACAAGCCAGTTTTGCATCTCAGTCTTTGTCTTGGAGTCTCTGGTCCAGACAAAGCACATGGAGAGATGCTGGGCTACCATGTGTTCACAGGGCCCAAGAACTTGGGGTACAGATTGTGTCCAATGGGAAGAGAGATGTATGCTGCCATATCCTGCTATTTGCAGTGAGAACAGAGAAACTGGGGTATGCAAAAAGAGGCCAGAGTGCAGACCGCTATCACTATAGCAACAGGACAAGGACATTCTAATTTACAATGGGGGAGGGGAGGCATACAGACCAATTTTAAGTAAAAGCAATGATGATTTTAAAAGTTAAAAAAACAACAAAAAGATGTTTGAACCTTCCCTCATTCTCCCTCACCCCCTATAGAGAAGAGAATCTTAAGGGGAAAATGCAAGATTTGAATGAACAGGTAATTCGCAAATCACAGTTTACCCTTTGGGCTTCCTTTTCTCCAGCCAGATTCTTGCTGAGTGTTGCTTGGTGCTGTGGAGTCACTGCAGGGCAAGATTGAGAGGTTCACTGATTTGATTGATAGCTTGTGGCAGAGCCCTGGGAGGCTGGGACAGGCAAGGAGATAGGGTATGTTCCCAGTGTAACCAGCATCCTGAGATTTGTCTTAGCAATGGAGTCCCAAAGGACTAGAACAGTCGTGAGTGGCGGTTATTGAATTCTAAAGCCAGGGTGAACTTAGTCTCCTGCAGCTCTAACAGCAGCGCTTGTGAGTCTGATTTGCACATGTTTGCAGGGGTGGGGAGTAGACCCCCAGATTTAGGGTTT